GAGTGGCAGAGGGTGTGACTCAGAGGACCTGTGGCCAGTCCCTCTCTGCTGGAGTCTGCTTCTCCTTCCCTCTGCAGTCCCCCTGCCAAATGCCAAGCCCAGGGCAGGCCTGGCCCTCCCTCTCCTTCCCCGGTGATTGCTGGTGGTTCTGTAAGCTCCCCTCCACCCACCCTCCCATCAGAGGTAGGTCAGGCCTGCGGGCCCGCTTCTGCTGGGTGTGGTGGTTCGAAGGTCCCCTTCCTTTGTGGGGACCTCGCCCCCTACTCCCTACTTCAGTCATTCCCTATTCAGGCTCAGAGCGGGCAGTGCAGTGCCTGGAAAGGACCTCTGTTGTGGGACTTGGGAGACCAGTGAGCTCTGTTACCTTGTCCCTCAGGCCTCAGCTTCCTCACCTCCAGTGGTCTTCAGGATCCCTCCTGTGCTGCATTTCCTGCATCTTCACCACTTAAATCACTTGGCCCACAGGACAGATTGCAGCTATGGGAGCAGGTGGGAAGGAGGTGCTCTTGCCCCTGGGACGTCTTTCCCCACCCCTCTCATTGTGCTGCCTGGTGTTTCCAGAATGCAAATGACAACCTGTGTTTTTCCTCTTGTTCCATTTCAAACCCATAATCTCATGCACTTGTGTTTACTGTCAGCCAGCCCCGTGCAAAATCCATGTTACAGCGAGCTCTGCCTGGTGAACGCCCCAGGGGTTCCGGGGAGCGAGCTCTGTGTGTGTTGGAGATGTATTGCGATGCCCGAGCACCCAGTTAAAGCTGAAGACGGTGCCCTCGGAGCTTCGGCAGTTTTTGACAGGGCTGCCGGGGTGACTGCGGCTCTGGGAGGAGCAGTACTGACCACGGTTGCATTACTGATGTTATTGATCGCTTTTTGATGAGAGCTCAAAGCCATCTTGATGCCATTTTCTTCATTTCACCTCACTGTTTTTCCTTCGCTGAAAAGCATTTCTAAAAAGCTTTCGAGTATTTTGCAAATCATTAAATTAAAGGCAGTCTTTTCTGCACCCTGCTGGTGCTGCCGGGGCTCTTCCCACCCCACCCATGCCAGTGTTGTGTGTCTCCCATTAGTTTTCTGTTTTGACCCTCCCCTTGTAAACATGGGGTCGTTACTCCCTCTCACAGATGAGAAGTCTGAGATGTGACAGGGTTAAGGGACCTCTCCCCAGCGCAAGGCTGCTGCTGACCAGCTCAGGGCAAGAATCCAGGACTCCTGAATGCCAGTTCCCTAGCGGAGGTGTAGCAGTGAGACAAGAGCACAGGGAGTCGGGGGGGGGGGTGCAGGGAGGGGTAGTTTTTCTTCCTGAAGGTATGAGAATGTCTTATTTCTGCAGGGAGGTGGGAAGGTGTTCTCTCTTCCTGGCTAAATGCATGGCATTCCCTGTGGCCAGTATTGGCTGTGGGCAGTGCTGCTCTGCCCCAGGGGACACTCGGCTGGCTCTCGTATGTGGGAGACAGGAGGCCGCCAGGTGTCAGGTGCACTGTTGCTGTGTGTGGCCCGGCCTTGGTGGGTTACTGCCTCCACGTTGCCAGCAGCTGACCCGTGTTTGTCAGTCCCTTCCTTCAGAGCATGGCCTTTTTATTTATTTATTTATTTTAAGATTTATTTAACTTATTTGAAAGGCAGAGTTACAGAGAGGGGGTGGGGGAGAAACCGAGAGAGAGAAAGATCTTCTACCTACTGGTTCACTCCCCAGATGGCTGTAAAGGCTGGGGCTGGGCCAGGCTGAAGCCAGGAGCAAGAGCTTCATTTAGCTGAGCAGGAAGGGCAGAATTAGCATAATCCTTCTTGCCAAACATGGGTGCAGGGGCCCAAGCATTTGGGCCATCTGCTGCTGCTGCTTTTCCAGGTGCATCAGCAGGGAGCTTGTTAGGAAGTGGAGCAACCAGGATTTGTACCAGTGCCCATATGGAATGCTGGCATTGCAGGTGGTGGCTTAACATGCATAGTGGTGCTACCATGCTGGCCCTATCATTGCACTTTTTGAAGAGAGAAAGAGAGCAGCAAGGTTAAAGTTAGAGATTATTTGACTGCTGGCCCTGTGGCCCCAGATGGTGCACTCCACCTGTGTGCGCCCCAGTTTGCGTGCCTCTTCTCCGGACGGGAAGTAGATTAGGTGAGTTAGTGCCCAGGGAGCCTACTGGCATTTGCCGGGTGTTTCTGCAAACACCTGGCAGAACCTGCAGGGGTACACTGTGCACTCCCAAATGCACGACGGCCTACTGACCTGAGGAACCAGCCACTGGGTGATCCTTTCAAGAAGGTGGACGGACCCTGAGCAGCTGCCTCAGTGTGCGCGGCTGCCCTGGCAGAACACCATCGACTGGGCGCCTGAAACCACAGATGGATGGCTGCCTTCTAAGGATGTCTTCCTCGTGTCACAGGGCTGCCACTCCTGTCTGGCTAGGACCCTCTCGGGATCTCTTCTCCTTCTTTTGTCTGGAGAGTCCCATCTGTGTTTAGGGCTTCTTCATTGGAATTTTAAGATTTATTTTATTTATTTGAAAGGCAGAGCTTGGGGCGGGGGGGTCCTTCTATTTGCTGGTTCACTCCTCAAATGGCCCAACGACCAGGGTTAGGCCAGGCTGGAGCCAGGAGCTTCTTCTTGGGCCATCTTCCACTGCTTTCCCAGACCATGAACAGGGAGCTAGATCGGAAGTGGAGCAGCTGGGGCTTGAACAGGCGCAAAATGGGATGACTGTCACAGGTGGTAGGCTTACCCGCTACACCACAGTGCTGCTCCCCAGCATTTGAATTTTGAGGGGGCACGTTCGTCTGCAGCACCAGCTTCCTCCCCCCAAGATCTCCCAGTGAGGAAAACCCAGGCCGTCAGCCTCGTGTCCTCTTGGGCCCCGAGCACTGTCATTTGTAAGTCACTGTTAGTGCTCCCATGTGGAGGGACCTGCCGTCTCCTGGCCCCCGCCCTCCTAGGCTGTGGCATAGAGCGAGTGACTGTGCTTCCTCTGCCCTTCTGCTCAGGAGCAGGGTGTGGGGCGCTGCCTTCTCATGTGTAATGAAGGCCTGTCTTGTCACCGTGTCACTTGTGTCATCTGTGTAGACTGGGGTATGAAATAAAATGAACTGGAGTGGAGCTCTTTACCACCCCCTCCTCTACAGCCCCCCTCACTCCCGAATGGTGCCCACGGCATGCTGGACCCATCGCCAAATCAATGCACTTACCAAGAGCCAGCTCTTTCCCAAACCCATCACACCACAGTAGCTGCTGTTGTACATGTCAGATTGATGAGATGTGACTGCAAATGAAGGCATTTTCTCCCTGTCCCCCTGTGCACTCTGGTTACAAACTGTGGCAAGAATCAGTCAGTGAAATCATAAGAATGCTGTCAGGTTAGAGGGGCATAAAGCTCAGGGGAATCATGAAGCTCTAACTTTATATTGTGATTGTTCCGTGAGGGTCTGCATTGTTAGTCCATGATCAAGACTAGGAGCTGGGAATCATAAACAATGTATCCTGCTCTGGTTATGTAAGAAAGGTGGGGCTGGCATTGTGCTGCTGAGGGTTAAGCCCCGGCTTCTGACACCCAACGCTGGTATCCCACATTGGAGTGTGGGTTTGAGCACTGGGTGCTCTGCTTCCTATCCAGCTCCTTGCTTATGTGCCTGGGAAGGCAGAGGACGATCGCACAGGTATTTGGGCCCCTGCTGTCCACATGGGAGAGCTGGATAGAGTTCCAGGCTCCTGGCTTCGGCATGGCCCACACCTGGCTATTGGAGGCATTTGGGGAGTAGATCAGAGATGGAAGATCTTCCTCCCTGTCTGGCCTCCTCCTCCCTCCCATCATTCTGCCTTTCAAATAAATAAAATGAATCTTTGAAAACAGGAAGATGATGCGGAACTCTTGCCAGTGGGCTCTTATTCAAGGAGCCTTGCCCTGGGTTAAAGATTGAGTGAATGGATGCATGTTTATATGAGTTATGCAAAAATAAAAATTTGAAGCATTTTTAAAAAATAAAGTCTTTTAAAATTTTTGTTAAATATAATACTTCTTTTTTAATTAAGATTTTTTTTTTAAAATTTTATTTGGAAAGCATAGTGAGAGAGAGAGAGAGAGATCAATCTTCCATCTGCTGATTTACTCTCTAAATACCCACAAGAGGCAAGACTGAGCCAGGCCAGAGCAGGAGCCAGGAACTCCATTTGGGTCTTCAACATGGACTGTAGAGATGCAGATACCGGGTCATCGTTTGCTGCCTCCAAGGACGTGTGCGTTAGCAGGAAGCGGCTGGGGATTGGAGTAGTCAAGACTTGGACCAGGCACTCTGCTGTGAGGTGCAGGTGTAAAAGCAGTGGCTAACCTGTGCTGTCACAACGCCAGCTGAGGATACTCGGAATGCATTTTTATGGGGCACAGTGCAATACCAGAACACGTGTGCACAGCATAAACCGGTCAGTCCAGGCAGCTGGGCTTCCCGTCTGCCTTGCCTGTGGAGCCTGCCAGCTCCTGTCCCCAGTTCTGTGTTCGGTATGTGCTGCGTTACTGTGACTATACCCACTGTGTAGTGGAGCACAGGCACAGGTGGCTTCCATCTGATGGTGCTTGGGCCTCCCCTAGCTACCGTTCTCACGGGGATACCATTTGTATGATTCCTTACTCGGGCTTTCTTGATTAGCCCGGCTCCTGGACTCGGTCACATTGGAAATGAAGTTTTTGCAGTTGTGATTCAGTTTATAGCTGGTTTGGTTTTAGTTCAGTGATCTGGGGAATTTTACTTTATGTATGGTAAAGCCTTACTAATAAAACCAACCGTATAAATGGGACTTCTAAAACAGATTAAAGAGGCTCATTCTGGAGTTTGTAGAATCTGTGGTTTCTCTCATGGATTTGTAGTAGTTCCTTCATTCCACACCCAGGGTAGGTGTGTTGGGGTGAATCGTGGGGCAGAGGCCTTCTCTGGGCCTCTCCATGGTGGGGCGGCCTCCTGAGCTGGTTTCACTGGCACTGGCGCTGACGCTGGGCTGTGTCACCTTCTTGGGGCAGGACCAACCTGGAGGCCTTGCAGAAGAAGCTGGAGGAGCTGGAGCTTGACGAGCAGCAGCGGAAGCGCCTGGAGGCCTTCCTCACCCAGAAGCAGAAAGTGGGAGAGCTGAAGGACGATGACTTCGAGAAGATCAGTGAGCTGGGAGCCGGCAACGGCGGCGTGGTGTTCAAGGTCTCCCACAAGCCGTCCGGCCTGGTCATGGCCAGAAAGGTGAGTTTGTCTCAACCAACAGGTCATGAAACCATCACCTGGACGAACCGGGGGCCGGAAGCAAGCCTTCTCACTCAGTAACTTTGTGCATGAATTTCGAACTCCTGTTATCTGTCAGATTATGGATAAGCAGGCTAAAGTGTGTGAGTGTATTAATTGCCATAACTCGGTCTCGGAAGTAGGTGACCCTTCATTAGCTGTCTGTGTGCCCAGGAAAGGATGCCGGGGGGCCTGCTGGTCATTTATCTAGCACCAGAGAAGCTGCTTTGAGTCTCTTGGCCCCAGTGACACACACAACACTGAGTTCCAGTTGTCCTTGCCAGCGGCTCCTCTCACTCTCCCTGCAGTGCAGTGTCTGAGCCCCCCACCATGGCGTCAGTCCTCAAGCTGGACGTCCCCTCCTGTCTGCCCCTGGCGCTCCTCTTCCTGCTCCCAAGGGGTTGGGCTCGCCCATGTCTTCCGCAGCACACGCCTTCTGGTTTCTGCCTGTGCTGTTCCTTGTCTCTGTAAGCACTGCCCACCCATCTTCCACGACTACCTTCTGTCTTCTTTTCCGGCTGCTCCAGCCCACGCCGATAGCACTGCTCCTCTCCTCTGACCTCATTGTCCCTGGCACTTTGTCCAGTCTGAATGTTGCTAGGTAACCATTTGATGTGTCTGTCACTTCCCTCCAGCTGGAACAGGGGGCAGTGTTTGGAGACATACGTAGCATCTGAGGTCTTTGGTGAATTTCAGCCACACCAGGCCCCTGAGTTCAAGGGGGAATCTGCGGGGCAGCTTAAGAGAACGCCCCCTACTTCCTCCAGCCCTCCTGCCCTCACAGCCCGTGAATGGCAACCACATCCTCAGGGCCAGTTTTCTCTTCCCTCTCAGCTCCACTGGTCCCTTTGGGTTAATCCTCCCAGCTGCTGTTGACCATGAGCGTGGCTCCCAGGAGCAGAGGCGCAGCCACGGTGACAGCACCTGCCTTGATATGTTGACACTCAGTACTTTGAGCAGAAATTTGTTTGTGAAAACTTGGTCTGTTTCTCCTCCCCTCTCTTAAACAGGAGTAAATGCTTAAGAAAGATGGTTCATTCCCCTGTACCCATGCATCCACCCATTTCTTCTTCTTCTTCCCAATTTCTTTCCCCAGCTTATTCACCTGGAGATCAAACCTGCTATCCGGAACCAGATCATAAGGGAGCTGCAGGTTCTGCACGAGTGCAACTCCCCGTACATCGTGGGCTTCTACGGGGCATTCTACAGCGATGGCGAGATCAGCATCTGCATGGAGCACATGGTATGTGGCCTGCAGAGCAGTGGCCAGCTGCTGTCTGGGGGCATCAGGCAGCCTGGGGCAGACTTGAATATTCACCAGAGGACAGACTTTTTCCTGGGTCCCTGCCTTCCTGCAAAGGGGTATCCCCGGGGCTGCGCTTAGTGCATGTCTCCCTGTGTTTTCCTCTGCAGAGGATTCTCAGATTATGACGTGGGTAAAATCTGGTTACAATGTAGTTCATGTAGTGCTGTGTGCTAGGTACAAGGTCCTGGGGTTATGAAGATGAGTGAAACAGCCCTTATCTTCAGAGAACTTTTTCTATTTAAGATTTATTGATTCGAAAAGCAGAGAGAGAGAGAGAATCGTTCGTCCACTGGTTCACTCCTCAGGAGCCAAGAACTCCATCCAGGTCTCCCATGTGGGTGGTAAGGACCCAAATTGCTTGGCTGTCTTCTGCTGCTCCCCAAGCAGAATCCAGAGAACTGGATTGGAAGTGAGCAGCCAGGAGTGGAACCAGAGCTCCGATAAGGGATGTTGGCGTTGCAAACAGAGACTTAACCTGCTGCGCCACAACCCCTGCCCCTTGCAGAGTATGTATAATCCACTTGAAGGACAGCCTGTGGGGTTTCTTTCCGTGTGGAGAGACATAATCCCACCTGATGCACATGTGGGGAGGAACTGACCTTGTAGGCAGGTTACACGGACGTGACCTGCCGTCCTGGAGTCCCTTCCTCTTCAGCAGGGACAGTAACAGTGTTAATACGGATCGTGATAAACTGACGTTTGCCAAGTGTATGTCCAGGATCCCTCCTGGAGTTCACATCCCGTGGTTCTAGGGTTTTCGGCACTTGTGGCCAGCCAGGTCTCTCATCCACGTGGGTCTGGCTTCACAAATACTTGTTTTTAGTCCACAGGCCGTGTGAAGTGCCCCATGAACTACCGGGGACAGGACTTGGGGGGGCCGGGTGGTGTGTGGAGAAACCCTGGGAGGAGCAGCGTCTCTGCCCCCAGAGCTTTTCATGGGCTGCATGGCTGTGTTCCAGCACCTGCCAGGCTGCTGAGTGAGGGCTGTGAGTGTGGACCTAAGAGCTACTGAGCACGAGGCGTCAGTCTGCTCAGTGTTGACCGTGGTCTGTTCCTTCGGTGAGACCCCACTGGAATAGAGCAGTGTGCTCCCAGTTGTCTCACACTGACCTGTTGTGAGCTCCTGAGGGGGTTTCCGTTCTGGAATGCTTCTTCAGTCTGCATTCTTAGCCTTGGGTACATCTGTTCAGCTTTGCCATGTCCCCTGTTCCCCCAAGCCTTCCTCGCTAGGACAAGGTGACATTGGGCAGGACAGGGCTGCTTTTCCATAGTCTTGGCCAGTTTCCTGTCGCTGCAGGTCAGTGTCTTTCCCATGGATTTGGCTCTTTGGGAGGAGATGCTCCCACACAATCCCCGAAGCAGAAGGCCTCTCTGGAGTTGCCCTGGGGAGCCTGAACCTGGAGAACTGGCCGCCAGAGGCAGGGAGCACACTGCAGCAGCTGGTGGCTTGAGGGGTGCAGGGGGCGGGGGTGTTGACTGGGTGACAGTGGCTAGGATGGGGGAAGGCCTGATTAGCCTGGAGCCCAGTGAGAGAGTCGTGTCTTAGGGCCAGTGGTAGGGCCTCTGTCTCAGTGTATCTGGGTCATGGGGCGGCTGGAACAGTCTGTTAATGTGATTGGAGAGGCTCCCAGCTGCCGTAGGGGCCAGATGGGACAGTGGTGGAAGCAGTTGTGGCCTGTGAGTGGCCTTCTGTTCCATCCCTGGGTGCTCTGACCCCTGCTCTGTTCCCTGTGTGCCTGCACCGGCTGTCCCTGGTGGGAGAACTCCCTGGCCGCTGCCTGCCGCTGTTCTCGGGTTTGCTGCTCGCTTTGGCGTCAGCACTGGCAGGTGGTGTTCTGCAGAGCGCTCTGTTCCACAGCTCACTCCTCTGGTGCTGTGGTCTGCTCTGTGTCACAGCCTTCGCTGGGTGTTCAGTGCCAGCTCTGTCTTATCCAGCACTTTATTGTGAACATTTTCAAGTGCACAGAAGGCCGAAGGAAGTATGTAGTGTCTACCTATAAACCCACCACCTGGAGTCTGCGCTGTGTTGTATTTACCCGACCACATATTGTCCATGCATTGCTCTAGTCGTTTTCTTCTTTTCTTTGTCTGAAAGATTTATTTGTTTGAAAGGCAGAGTTACAGAGAGGGATAGGCAGACACAGAGAGAGAGGGAGAGAGATCTTCCATCCACTGGTTCACTCTGCAAATGGCCGTAAAGGCCAAGGCTGGGTCAGGCTGAAGCCAGAAGGTGGGAGCTTCATCTGGGTCTCCCACGTGGCGCAGGGAGTACTTGGGCCATCTCCCGTTGCTCCCCCAGGTACCTTACCAAGGAACTGGGTCAGAATTGGAGCAGCTGGGACTCAAACTGGAGCTCCTGTGGGATGTCCGTGCTTCAGGTTGTGGCTTTCCTGCTACGTCACAGCAACAGCTCCTGCTCTGGTCCTTTTAGAGGGATGCATTTTAAAGTAGATCTGTCACGAGTGCTCACTGAGCCCTGGCCTTTCCTAGAAATAAGCTGTGTTTGCAGTGCCCAGTGAATGTGGTGACTCTGGGGAAGTGGGTGCTCCCTCATCAGGGCAGGAACACTTCCATCCTCGGAGAAGTCGGTTCCCGCCCCCCCGGGGTCTGAGCAGGCGGGGCCCGGGACTCAGAGTTGATGCTTCTCACGCAGCGGGAATAAAAGCTTTTGAGCTGTTATTTTCATCAAGCCTTTGTCTCTTCCATAGAAAACCTTCACAGAAGTACCACGGACTTTGTTAATAATTGGCTTCTAAAAATAAGCACACTTTCGGCAGCTGTAGTTGGTGACAGCGAGTTCTTGGCAGGTTCCCGAAGCAGCATGAAAGGGCTGTAGGGTTTGCTGCAGGGGACTTGGGGCAGTGCTGATTGGCGCTGGCCCCTCCCCTCGTGCCCCTTCAATTGTCAGTCTGCTCAGAGCTCAGGAGGAGGGTGAGGGAAGAGGGCCAACGCTTCTTCCTCTTCAGTAGAAATGTTTACGGGGCCTACTCAGGGAAAGTGAAAAGCAAGACCGCTAGCTGCCTGTGCTCTGCCCAGCAGCCAGGGGTCTGCCTGGGTCAGCCCGAGTGAAATTCATTGCTGAAGTGGAGGAAGTGACCTGAAAACCACAGGGTTGGCTTTTCCACCTTCTCTGAAGCTGATTTGGACAGAGTGGCTTTGTTCTCTTCTAGGTCTGTAGTCTTCCCTGGTGATGAGGCAAAGCTGTGCAAACCGAGCAGCTGCAGCCATATTCCACTGGGGCAGTGTCTTGGAACAAAGTCCCTCTTCCCATGGATGAAGGACATGCTGGGGTGCTGTGGCATGTCTAGGAGCTGCAGGCTCAGGTGTGGTGGCCTGGGCCGTGGTTTGGTCCCGAAGTGGCCACAGGGGCTGTCATGTTGTTAAGGCAGCCAGGAACACGGCATTGGTTTGAGTGCTCAGGGCTCAGCCTGGCTGCTAGCCTGGGCCAAGTCTCCCCCAGGAACTCTGGAAAGTAGCTGTCACAGGGAGTTCTGTCTGGTTCTAGCCCCGTGACTCCTCTCGGTTATCTGCGCCACATGCGAAAGGCTAGGTTGAGGAACAGAGTCTGCTGTGGGCCTTGGTTGCCTCCTGCCCATCAGGTGGTCGTGCCAGGGAGTTTGTGATGTCTGGAAGCCCCGCTGAGGCAGGGGAGCTCGCGTGCTGGTGGAGACTTCCCTGCCTTGGGGAACCCACAGCTGTGCTGGTTCTCTTCCCTTAAGTGGAGTGTCACAGAAATCGATTGGTCCACACTGTTCTTTTTATAAACGTGGAATGTTTTTAAAAGTTGGTAACCTGCTTCTGGCATTGCTGGAGGTCATGGCGCTCGGGAGAGCATAACCTTGATGTGAGTCCTTCTCTAGAAAGAAAGTGGTTTTGTGTCTACCTAACAATGCCTTGGCACAAGCTGGGTGCTCAGGGCCTACTAATTAATTCATAGATGGCATTCTGCGCTCTCATAGATGAGTTCAGTAGTTTAGAAGTGTGAGACATGTACTCTGTAGTAGATAATCTGAACAGGAGGAAGGGAAAGAAGGAAGTTTCATGCAGCAGAAATCCCTGATGGTTCTGTCTAGACCAGAAGTAACCCGCCTTCACGTGTTTTGATTTTGCTCTGTGAGTGTACACGCGCTGTTTAATCTTCATAGCGGTGGGCTCATGCCCTGTCCTTTTGTCTGTCATGTCCACCCGATGGCTGCATGTGGAGACTGGTGTCTGAGGGGACTTCTCTCTGCTCTGGATTTCGCCCGCCTCACGGCTCAGCTTGCATGTCACTCCAGTTTGGAGTCTCTTCCCTGCCATTTTGTCCACAGCTTCATCTGTTCTCCTCGTTCAGCTGTTTGTTGACTGCCTGGTTTCCGAGGAGGATTTCCAGTGTCGTGCCTTTGAATGCAGGAGTGTGTTTTATCTGTGTCTTAGAGAATTTTTCTACCCCTCATCCTTCCACGTCCCTATGCTTTGTGCACAGGTGTTGGATAAGTGACAGGTGATGATGGTAACTGCTTAGGTACGTAGACAGAGTACTTGGAAAATCAGTTTGAGTTTGCTGGAGTTACCTGCCTCTGAGGGTGATGTAAGCTGCTGGTGAGGCTTGCCCTTGCTCCTGCTTTGATGCACTAGGCTTCTCTGAGTGCAGTATTTCTTCTCACTCTCAGGCTCATATGTAGAGTCCCTGAACGTGCGCCCCAGAGTCTGGCTTCACAGCACACCTGCATCCTTTCTTCTGTGGTCCCGTCCGCTCGTTAGCTTCGGTCATCTCCTTGCCAGCCCTGCCCCTCTTTCTCTGCTGCTGCGGGGCTTGTCTGAAATAACGCCCAGGTTGCATTCCTTGTGCTTCCACATAGCCAGGTCCTGGTTCCTGGCTGAGGCTGTGGCCACAGCTGGCCCTTGCCAGCCTGACCCCTCACCACTGCAGCTCTTCATGCACTCACAGGGCCGGGCCGCCTCGCCCCAGGGGCAGCTTAGAGCAGCTCTGCCTTTGTTTTTTTTTTTTTTTTTTTTTTTTTTTTTTTTTTTTTTTTTTTTGACAGGCAGAGTGGACAGTGAGAGAGAGAGACAGAGAGAGAAAGGTCTTCCTTTGCCACTGGTTCACCCTCCAATGGCCGCCGCTGCAGCCGGCGCACCGCGCTGATCCTGGCAGGAGCCAGGAGCCAGGTGCTTTTTCCTGGTCTCCCATGGGGTGCAGGGCCCAAGCACCTGGGCCATCCTCCACTGCACTCCCTGGCCATAGCAGAGAGCTGGCCTGGAAGAGGGGCAACCGGGACAGAATCCGGCGCCCCAACCGGGACTAGAACCCGGTTTGCCGGCGCCGCAAGGTGGAGGATTAGCCTATTGAGCCATGGCGCCGGCTCTCTGCCTTTGGTTTGACTGAGGAGCCCCGACCTGTTCTCTTGCTCCTTCCCTTCCCAAGTGTAGAGGTCAAGCTCATTCTTTGAGGGAGATTTTAGTTCAAATTGTATCCTCCTAGGTGAAGCTAGAATTATCCCTCCCTTACTCTGCATGTCCACGGCTCTTTTCTTTCGTGTTTCTGCCTTTGTTTTATTAGTTAATATGTTTATTGAGAGCAGAACCCGGCTCTTATTCACATATCTGGCCCCCAGCAAACCTGACAATCCATGGTGTTTGGTGGGTTTTGTGGGCTATAGTATTGCTTTTCATGCTATTTCTCTTTGGGTTTTGTTAATTTCGATTTGTTGGGATAACACCAAATAGAAGTTGTGACTTACATGGTAGCGATAAAATGGCTAACAGTTATTGAGCACTCACTCTGTGCAACACATTTTTCTAGGTGCTTTATTTATTTGTATTAGCTTATTTAATCCTTATAACAGCCCTGAATATTATAATAGCCTTAGAATTGTCATCATCCTCATTTATCAGTTGGGTGACTTGGTCAGGGCCTCCTGGATAGAAAGTGGCAGAGCTGGGATTCAGATTTACAGAGTTTACCTCTAGAGCCTGCACACTCGACCATGTGAGTTCAGTGCAGAGCAAGCCTTTTAAAATGTTTACTATTTATATTTGAAAGACAGAAAAAAGGAGAGTTTGAGAGATCACTCCCCAAATGCCTGCAACAGGACTGGGCCAGGCCAAAGCCAGGAGCCAGGGACATCCATCTGGGCGGCAGGGAGCCGAGTCTGTGGGCCCTCATCTGCTTTTCAGACCCATCAGCAGGAGGCTGGGTCTGAAGTGCAGAGTAGCTGGGACTGGAACTGGAAGTCAGAGATGGGACGTGGGTGTCCCAAGCAGCCACTTAACCCTCTGTGCCGTGACACCCAGTGCACAAACCTTTTTCCTGACCACTGACTTAGTGACTTGTGTAACGATGTCTGTAGGGTTTGAGTTGCTCGCCTCCTGCAGTGTCTTGCACACACGTCACATTTGATGTCTGGAGCGGAGCCAAGGGTGAGCCCTTCACGTTCCCGGAGGCTTGTGAGACTGCCTTTCCTCCTGCAGTTTGACACTTGGAAGGAGAATTGGCGCCGTCGTCACTCAATGGTCTCCTCCTCTTGTTCTTAGGACGGGGGTTCCTTGGATCAAGTCCTGAAGAAAGCTGGACGGATTCCCGAGCAAATTTTGGGGAAAGTTAGCATTGCTGTGAGTATGTTGTGGAGTTTTCCTTCCAAGTTCCCTCTTCATAAGTTAATGAATTGGTGGGAAATGTACAAGGGAAGAAGGCAGGAAGTTTTTTAAGAGAAATGAGATTTTATCATGAGAATTTTCCCTCTGTAGAGTCTGCATATATAATATTCTCTCTTTTGTGAGAATAAGAAAAGTGAATTTCTTCGCATTAAAATCTATGTCAGAAAAATAGGACAGAGGTATCCAAAGGGATTCCCACTTAGGTGAAAGCAGGCTGCTGTTTCAGATCACAGATTGAGACAAACATGCATTCCTAGGCAGTGGTTTTAGAAATTGATAAAGCTTACAGTAATTGATTTTCCTAAAAATATTCTCTATAAACTGTATAAAAAGATGGTTGCTTCATAAGGCAGGTTAAGAAAACAAACAAAAAAAATGAAATAAAAAACAGAAGGCAGAATTGTGACAGTGGCCGGAGTATTTCCTAGCCCGTTTGGAAGCAGATGGGGCGCGTTCCCGAGCGCTGCGTGTGCGCCCCCCTGCTCCTACGCTGTCTTCCCCGCAGGTGATCAAGGGCCTGACGTATCTGAGGGAGAAGCACAAGATCATGCACAGAGGTAAGCGTTATGTTTGAATTTGTTACGTTTGAATTTGGCTGAAGTCCAGAGTTTGCTGCGTCCTCTCTTGTGTTTGGTTTTGGTGGAAAAGCCTTTCGGCGTGCTTTCAGTCTTTATTACAAGTCCTCGTCCAGTGTGAAGGCTGGGGCAGTGAGCCCCACCCTCTTGGTCTGGATACACTTGTGTTTCTCAGCCGAGTGCCTGCCACAGTCCGTGTCCTGTGCTATTCAGTGGCCCTCTCGGACTTTATCTCCATTCCCAAGAGAGGAAGGTTTCCGCTTAGCCCTGGAAGCAGCAGCTAGCCTTCCCCTCTGCCCGGGCCATCCCGTCCTCCCAGAGCTTTTCTGGCTTCAGCAGGTAACTGTCTTGTGGCATGAGGAGTGGCTCTGTGAGCCGGACGGCTCCCTGCTTAGATGTTTGGGTGTCAGTCAGGGAGGGGAAGAAGGACTCTGTCCCAGGAAGCAGCACCTGCCTGGGCTGGCCCAGCCTCACTGCTCAGCCTCAGACCTGTGCTGTTGGCTGGTCTCCTATGGAAGCCCGGGCGAGTAACGAGCTGTGGAGTGGTAGCGTGCACTGCGGGCTCCTGAGCCTCACCCAGCGAGCAGATGATTCCTAGAAATCTGTGTTAGGGTGTGCACGGGAGACGGCCAGTCTCCCTGCGTCTGCTTCTGGCTTCCATGCCAGTAGGATCTGCCTCTGGTCTAAGTATAGTCTTTGCCAATGAAATTTAAACTCTATTTCTTGTCGTTCTGTCATTGAGGAAACATGGAAAAGAGTAAAGAGCCTTTTTATCTGCCTCAGATTTTTATTCTTATTTGTTTGCTGGAGATAGCCTAATGATTTCTTTTTTTAAAAGGTTTTATTTTTTTGAAAGAGTGATGGTGGGCAGGGGAGGGAGGGAGAGAGAGAGAGAGGGCTAGAAAGAGAGGGAGGGAGGGAGAGAGGGAGGGAAAGAAAGAGAGAAAGAGAAAGAGATATCTTTGGTTCACTAGTTCACTCCCTAAATGGCTGCAACTGCCCAAGCTGGTCCATGCTGAAGCCTGGAGCCTGAAATTCCATCCAGGTCTTCCAGGTGGGTGGCAGACCCTTCTCAGGTGCATTAGCAGGGAGCTGGATCAGAAGTGAAGCAATCAGGACTTGAACCAGTGGTCCAGTATGCGATGCAGGTACCCCAAGCATTGGCTTAAGCCACTGGGCCACAACACTGGCCCCTGAGTGATTATGTCAATTACTCTTTGCTATGGAACAAGGCACGCTGAAAGCTGGTATTTTAAAACACAGATGGTTTGGACTTTCTACCACCTTGTGGGTTGACGTGATTACTCATGCCCTGAGTCTAACGCCCAGGCTTCCCCTGCTCACCTTGGGCCTCCCGGTAGCGAATGTGGGTAAACTCCAACCCTCAAGCACCCTCACACTTCTCAGCCATTCGGTTTGTTAGCATCCTGTTGGCCAGAGCAAATCCCATGGTCAAGTCAGGATCGCAAAGGAAGAGGGAAGACTTCATCTCTTGCTGGAGGGAGCCAAAAGATACTGTGACCCGTTTATTCCAGTGTTTCCCAATGACAAAGTCTGGGATCCAAGTCTTGGCCATACTGCTTGCTTCGTACCCGCGGGTTTGTTTACCTGTGTAAGCCTCAGGAAACTGCAGAGAACGGCCCAGCACGCAGGTTCTGCTTGCTGCTGTGTGGCTGGTGGGCGTGTGGAGGTTTCTGTGGTGTGCAGTGACAGACACAGCCTGGCTTGGACTAAGCCAGCCAGACTTGCTCACGCAAGGGACCCCAAGGAGCTCAGAGAGTCGTTGAAGAGCTGGACCACACACTCAAGCAGAAAAGCAGCTGCCCGCCATAGCCAGCACCACTGTGCTGCTGTGGAGCCTCGTGGCCAGCTAAGCTTAGTCACGCCCGGGGCCCCGCTGGCCGTGCCTGGTGCAGCACCGCACAGGTAGCACAGCATGCCTTCTCCCACCCAGCGCTGGGCACAGGCTGGCGCTCTGCTCCCTCATTTAGCGTGCAAGGCATTGGATGATTAGGGCGGAAGGGGTTTCTAGATCCATGTCCTGCACTGAGTAGAACTGGTTCACAGAAAGAACTTAGGTCCCAGGTTGTTCTGGGGACGGTGCTTTGCTTTTGCACAGCATTCCCTGCAGGCCCCTTCACACATGTTCTCAGGGTCTCCTCGCTCTGACGCGACCATTTCTAGCAATACGGTAGTGTCACCAAGCCGGCAAGGAAGGGAGAGGAAGTGCAATCGTGGTGCTCAGGGGAAGCGTAGTGTTTGCAGGTGCCATTTAGGTACAGTTCTTCCAGCTAGTTCAGGTATCTTTCTACTGCTGCCGGGTACCACTCCTGGTGGGGCCCACTGCCTTGCTTGTCCATTGGCCAGCTCTCTTGCATGCCTGTTGTGTCCATAAAATAGGATTTATTTACTTATTTAAAAGGCAGAGTACAGAGAAAGAGAGAGATTGATCTTCCATCTGCTGGTTCACTCTGCAAATGGCCACCATGGCTGGGGCTCGTCCAAACCGAAACCAGGATCCAGGAACTCCATCCAGGTCTTCCATGTGGATGTCAGGAGTCCAAGCACTTGGGCCATCTTCTGTTGCTTTCCCAGGCACATAAGCTGGGAGCTGGATCGGAAGTGGAGCAGCCGGGACTTGAACTGGTGCCCACTGGGATGCCAGCATCACAGGTGGTTGCTTAACCACTGCACCACAATGCCAGCCCTGTGGCTTTGCTCATTCTTGTGTGGGCTTCACTGGGGCCAGGCTGGACCTCAGAAGCCCCAGGTACATCTAGTCCTTGGCACCCCCAGTCCCAGAGAAAGAACTCCCCTCTTCTAGATCAGTTTTCCAGGGCCAACGCTGTGGTGTAGCAGGTAAATCCACTACCTGGGTTGCTGGCATCCCATATGGGCATTGGTTCAAGACCCAGCTGCTCCACTTCTGATCCAGCTCCCTGCTTATGTCCCTGGGAAGAGCAATGGAAGATAACCCATGAGCTTGGGCCCTGACACCCACATGGAAGACCTGAATGGAGCTCCTGGCTCCTGACTTCATCCTGCGCCAGCTCCGGCTATTGCGGCCATTTGGGGAATGAACCAGCACTCTGTCACTCTGCCTTTCAAATAAATAAATACATATTTCTTTTTAAAAATCAGTGCTCCAACTGCTGGTTGGCCCTGCTTGGAGTATCTGCTCCTGGGCCCACCTGTCACTGTACTTAGGGGTCCAGTGTAGTTTGGTGGCCACCTTGGGCTGCACACCAGCACTGGCGGGGGTTGGGTGGGGTCATCCACAGGGCTACTTGAGGTTGGAGGAGGAGCTCCTTCCAGTGAAAAAGAGGGGTTTGTGGCCGGCGCCATGGCTCAATAGGCTGATCTCTGCCGTGGCTCAATAGGCTGATCTCTGCCTGTGGCGCTGGCACCCCGGGTTCTTGTCCCGATCGGGGCGCCAGATTCTATCCCGGTTGCTCCTTTTCCAGTCCAGCTCTCTGCTGTGGTCTGGGAGTGCAGTGGAGGATGGCCCAGGTGCTTGGGCCCTGCACCCGCATGGGAGACCAGGAGAAGCACCTGGCTCCTGGCTTTGGATCGGTGCGGTGCGCTGGCCACAGCAGCCATTGCAATGGGGGGTGAACCAACGGAAAAGGAAGACCTTTCTCTCTCTCTCTCTCTCTCACTGTCCACTCTGCCTGTCTAAAAAAAAAAAAAAAAAAAGAAAAAGAGGGGTTTGTGACGGGGAGAAGGGATAGATGCTGAAAGGCTAGCAGGCTTAAAGACCCAAGTTCTTCCCTGGCAAGTATTACTAACACTGGGTTGGTTGTTAGAAAGACTGTTGGGGTGGGATCACAGGATTATCCAGCAGTTCCGTCTGGCAGCACGGGGCAAGCTGCTCCCAGGCCACCCCGGCCCTGCTGCCTGAGTCCGTATGGCCTGCACTCTCAGAATGGCTTTCAGAGAGAGAGAGAGAGAGAGAGCCGGGGTCACCATGAACAGTGACCCCACTAGAAACCCTTTCCCGCTCCTATTTCCGAATGCCCAGAGCTCCGCCTGGCCTGTCTCCTTTCACCCGTGATCTTTGTTCCCTCTCCTGCCGAGAAAAGCTAGCCTTCCACAGCTCAGGGCAGACGTTAGCTCCTTTCCCTTTCTTGAGCAGCCAGCGTGGTTTCCCTGCCTGTGGGCGGTCCGCTGGCTTTGTGACAGGCTGCACGTCTGCTCCTCTCCCTAGGTGGCCTGTGGGGAGGATGTGCTTCTTTGGTGCCAGTTTCTTTGGGTAGAAAGGTTATTTTGTGAAATCGCAGGACTTCATCCTGGGCCTCCATTTGCATATCTGTAGAACAGGAGACATCAGAAACTAGAGGTCCTGGAATCTGGGAGCTCTTCCTTCCTTGTCACAGCCCTCTCTCTTCCTCCCCCCTCCTCTCTCCCTGCATCAGGCCATGGCTTTGGCATCCTGTTTGACAAATGCACCGTGTGCTAATGGAAACCAGATCCTGAACTTTCATGGCAGCTGTCAGGACTGTGTGCCTTGGGTCAAGGGAGGAGCAGTGGATTGTCAGCGAGAGGTGCGGGAGGCAGAAAAGGAATGCTTCTCAGCCCTGAGGAGTCTTGGAAGGGGAGGGAGCAGACCTGCCGGCGTTGCTGGGCTTGGCTGTGAGTCTTCAAAGTCGAGGGAGATAAAAATAGCAGCTTGTTAGGGCCTGGCAGGCTGCTCCCAAGGCTCTGTTTGCACTTGGTGCTTCATCAGAAGGAGGTGGGAACAGCACCTAGTTGCAGCACTTGGACTTGTCAAGGAGGATAATGGGCTGGAGCTGAAAAGGAAGCCCTGTGCTCTCCCGCTGACCCAGCCCAGCCAAGAACTATGTTCTCTCTTCAGCCCATTCCAGAAAGCACCCCCTCTGCGATTGGACCGGGAGCGACTCCTTCCCCAGCTATGGCTTTGCAGCACGCCTGCACCGTCTGGGCCCTGGTGATCTGAATTCTGGGGAGGGCAGACCCTGTAG